AAGTAAAACTTATACAATGATTGAAATCTATGTATTTTACCAAAGTGTAAATGATAAATCTTATCTGTAATAGATATTACTAGTATTTATATTAAATAAATAATTTATGACTAAATTGTTCCATTATTGACCATCTTGTCAGTGTCAACGCATTTGATGACATATATTTTTTGTCAATTTATGAATGTCAAAATTTAAATTCTTAATGAATTCCATAACTGTCATGTTGTTTCCTTAATTGATAGAAAACATTTCATTTGTCAAAAATATTACTTACTTACTTACTTACGCCTGTTACTCCCAATGGAGCATAGGCCGCCGACCAGCATTCTACAGTCCACTCTGTCCTCGGCATTTCCTTCTAGTTCCATCCAATTCTTGTTCATTTTTTTCATGTCTATCTCCATTTCTCGGCGTAATGTGTTCTCTGGTCTTCCTCTTCTCCTTCTTCTTTGACCTTGAGGATTCCAAGTGAGGGCTTGTCTTGTGACGCAGTTGGGTGATTTCCCAAATGTGTGTCCTATCCACTTCCATCACTTCTTCCTAATTTCTTCCTCCGCTGGGATCTGGTTTGTTCTCTCCCACAGTTGGTTGTTGCTAATAGTGTCCGGCCAATGGATCCGAAGTATTTTGTGTAGACAACTGCAAATAAATACTTTTATCTTCTGAATGATGGCTATCGTAGTTCTCCAAGTTTCCACCCCATACAGTAAAACTATGTTGACATTTGTATTGTAAATTCTGATCTTGGTGTTGGTTGACAATTGTTTTGAGTTCTAGATCTTCTTCATTTGTAGATATGCTGCTTTTGCTTTGCTGATCCACGCCTTCACATCTGCGTCAGATCCACCATGTTCATCAATGATGCTGCCTGGATATGTAAATGTTTTTACATCATCCAAAGCTTCTCTGCCAAGTTTGATTTGATTGTTGTATGTTGTGTTGTATTTGAAAATGTCGTTTTTCCCTTTGTGTATATTGAGAGCTACTGCTGCTGAGGCTGCTGCTACACTGATCATCTGTGAAATCTAGATCGTGTAGTTGCATTCTAGCTGTTCATTGTATCCCGTGCTTCCCTTCAGATGTTGACATCTTCATGATCCAGTTGATCACCAGGAGAAAGAGAAAGGATAAGAGTAGGCATCTTTGTCTGTCATCGGTCTTTACTTCAAACGAGTCTGTGAGATGTTCTGTCAAAGACATTAAGAATCCTTAATTCATTGAAATCATCATCATTAATTACAAATATATTTCAATTGACTTGAAAAGTAGAAATTATTCGTGGTAATAGATATTTAAAAGTATTTTCATTTATTGGGTATTCATAATAGAAATATGTTTTCTGAACTGTTTTATGCATAAACTTTATATGATATTTGATGAACATTAGCTCATTATGGAAATTAAGTTCAAATTGGACTACAATGTTTTATACCTCTCTTAATTCAATCAACTAATGATATGGTACAGGATTCATTCAATACAATCAATTAATGATTACTTATTGCTCGATAGTGTGAAATTCCACTATTCTCTACAAATCCATCCATTTATCTTGAATCCATTAACTAGTGAAGACATGTCCAATGTCACCTTACACTATGTGTTTTTTTCATTGGAATTGTTATCTAGTATTCTATACACACTTCAAATAGATTTTATAAGCATTTATACTTGGTATCATCTTTGTATAATCACTTAATCAATGTTAAGTTGTACACACAAAATGCACATAGAATAGGATACTATAGAATTCGACACCATGTACCGCAGTAGAATTATTTGTCAGTAAGGTTGAATGATCATACAGAAAGTGAAGAGTTAATTATAGTTAACCGTTTAACATGAAATAAAATTATTTCACAAGTTGAAATCATGAGCCAATTGAAGCTAGACCACCATGGAAAACCTGGAAGCACTGGACAGCCGTTTCGTCCTAGTATGGGACTCCTCAGCAGTGCGCATCCACGAACCCGCCCCCCATGGGATTCGAACCCAGGACCTACTGGCTTCGCGAGCGAGCACTTAACCATTAGACCACTGGGCCGGCATCCAACGGTGTTAATGTCGGCTCAGTAGTCTAATGGTTAAGTGCTCGCTCGCGAAGCCAGTAGGTCCTGGGTTCGAATCCCGTGGGGGGCGGGTTCGTGGATGCGCACTGCTGAGGAGTCCCATACTAGGACGAAACGGCTGTCCAGTGCTTCCAGGTTTTCCATGGTGGTCTAGCTTCAATTGGCTCATGATTTCAACTTGTGAAATTTCTAAAAATCTCCACAACACCCATTCTGATAAAAATAAAATTATATTAATGATAAACATTCCTTAGATAGTAATCTTGACAGTGAAGTATAGTGGTAATCATCGTGTATTCTGACATAAGTCTAATTTTCTTGTCTTGTTCACAGAAGAAGTGTATGGGAATATTTAGTTCTCCTCTGTAATGACATCGTTGAATGTGATTGGTACAAAGATGGTTGACTAGTAATAGAATTAAGGATGTGCATTCCGTTCCATTTGAGACTCAGAATTCAAATGCTTCTGCATCCTAGTGTTGATTTTCACACTGAGACTCGAACTCAATACCTATCTTTTCAAATGTAAAAGATATTTTCTACTGAGCTACTGAGTCCCGATAGCCATCAGCTTATGCAACAGGGATGAAGTTTTATTGTTCATTTGTAAGTGTTTGAATCTCTTCATTGTCGAATACTTGTGGAACAATGACAATATTGAGCCAATTCTCTCACGATCTATGTATGACAAACGAGAATGATAGAAATCCAGTCCTCAACATGGTCAACGTTAAGTTTATTTAAATACTTGCAAACAATTGATAAAAAACCACCACGTTTTGTATTGTAGTGGTTAGCCGCCACCACCCTCTTTCAAATAGTTGCATCTAACTCTAACTTTATGATTGCCATTAGACTTAAAGAGATGCGAGGCAAGCCCTAACACGGAATTCTGAAGGGAAGCGGAAAAGAGGAAGGCCAAAGAGTCCATTACGTCGAGAAATAGAATCAGATATGAGAAGGATGAATAACAACTGGAAAGAGCTGGAAAGGATTGCCCAGAACAGGGTTGGATGGAGAATGCTGTTGAGCGGCCTATGCTGCTTTACGATGAGTAGCAGGCGTAAGTAAGTAAGAAATGTGGAAGAATATGGTCTACCACTCCTAATCGATACACGTACGTTGATCAATTTTGTAATATTATTTCCTAAAGGGTTCACCGATGTGATTGAATCCACAGGATGTTTTAAGCATGCGACACAAGGTGTTCTCACAGGCCATTCTGCCAAAATAATGTAAGTGTCTATATTAATAAAATGTAGGATATAATGGTTAGGACCTATCAGTCTATCTATTCATCCATACTAACGGTACAATGGCTCGATTATTCTACTAAAGAATTCTTGATTATGCCATATTACTGATCGTATATTTTTGGACCGGAAAGCAAGTGAAGTGAAACTTTATCAGCTGTCACGTGCATTAACTCTGGTTAAATTGAAATAGAGTTTTGGGAGTTTAATTTGACGTCGGATGAGTGAGCGAATTCTTGACTGAGTAGTGTTTGTCCTGTTTATTGTAATACGCTAATTCATGCAATCCTCCTTAAGTACAGCTCATTTCCCATTTGATAAATTGAATATCTGAACAGAGTCGTTTTAAACAAGGATGGATAGTTACTAACACTACAATCCAAGATGCCTGTTTCGACCTACTTGGAACTCGTCAGGTGAATATACCTGCATCTCAGAGTTGATGTTCACTCTGGGACCGTTCGCTTCAAACCCTATCATGTTACCAAGCTTACGAGTCCAAAATAGGACGAAACACGTGTCAAACTGGATTCCATTGCTAGCCACTATCCATCCACGCACATATGCCAATAAGAGGTTGATCAATTGCAGCCTTAAACATCAGTGGGAAGATTCAAGTAAACAATAACAAGTGAATTTAGAGGCATTTTAAGATTAAAGAGTTATATCTAAATTGGTTTTCGAGTTGGAATCCATCAAATAGTTAGTTCAGTCGTATTGTGGTGTATGCCACTTACGTTTGTCAACATAAGTAATATATAACACCAGTCAGAAAGGGAACACCTGGGAGCACAAGGCTAAGAAGATCTAACTCAAGAAAATAAGAAGGGAAATAGAAAGGAATTGAGAATTGGAGAAATCAGTGAGGGTATAACGTACAATTGATTAAGGATTTGCAAATGAAGTTCTTAACGTATGATTTTCATATTTTATGAAAGAACTCTGTAATTTTGCATTAGACAATAAAATGGTTGTCCCCACCAAGTCTTCGTTCACTATAGTACTACTTAGATGTAAGCAGTGTTGATGAGAAGCAGTATAGGTAGATCTTTCAACTGTGTTAACATTTTCAAACGGTTACTTTCACTAAGAAAAACTTTATCCACTTTCAGTCGCTGAATAACACTTTAATTTTAGATTATTCGAACAAACATATATCATGTTTAGCATTTAATTCACTCACATATATCTATGCTCAGATATAACTGGTCAATCTCTGATACACAGAATGGTGAATATTCAACTGGTCACTCATCATACAATTACATTACTGAAGTCGACTATACGATAACGATAAGTTTTACTGTGAACTATGCAATTCACTAATCCTGATTAACGATTTCCAACTCTTTGGTCACTGAGTAGTGACTAATTTCCTGATCTCCAAGTCATTCTAAATGTTTTCCGAATTCTAGCGATTAACTTGCCGTGTGGCCATTAGTGTAAGTGACCCGACGTCACGTGAACCATGATAACGTATTAGGTGGTCATAGTTAGTCGACAGGAAACTGTGGACTCAAGTTTCATGCTTCTTTGAACTTATTATTCATGACACTAATAACTAGGAAGATTATCAAAGATCATACTTATTGTTGATCAACTGAAAACTGTCAAGGAATACAACAGAAAATCATTTAGTATTAAAACATTTTATTTCTTCTTATTGAATTGTTTATGCAAATTACAACCAAAAGATGTAATTTAACAATAAAGACAATAATCCAGCAATTGAATGATAAATTTCATCTTAGAAAAGAAGTTAATTTTTCTTCTCTGTTGTATTCGTTGCTTCTACGCTTTCTGTACTTTCATTATCTTCAATCTCCGTTTCACATTCCCTTGAAAAGAAAAACAAAAGTATATTCTCAAAATGTTCGGAAATGATTAAGCGATGAATAAATTACCTTTTATTAAACAGAATTTTAAAAGTTTATTCAATACCATTATTAATTAGATTCACATGGTATTGTTTTGATTGAATCTTCCCGTTGATGTTTAGGACTGTAATTGATCAGTCTCTTATTAACAAATGTGCATGCTGTGCGTATTGCCTCGATATTGCCTTGATTGACAAGCATCATAAGCAAATACGGATAGTGGCTAGTAATGGAATCCAGTTTGACACGTGTTTCTTCCTATTTGGGACTCGTCAGCTGGACGTACCTACATCTCAGAGTCGATGTTCACTCTAATTCAATACATAAACTACAGTTTATAAAGGTGTTGTGTTATATGATGATGTCGTCTAGAAGGTGAATAAAAATTTCATGACAAATCATTAGAGCTCACGGAACACAATACCTCTAAAATTCCCATACTCAGTAACAAATATTCATTCTGGATTTTATAACTTACACTTTCATTAAACGAATTCCTTTTCTGTTATTTTTCTCTGTTTCATTTGCTCTCGAAAAGTCGATATCGGTTTCGCATATTTCATCTGTTACTTTTAAAGTCAATTTCTCATTTAAAGTATAATTATATCCATTAATCATTAACATCATGGAACCTATGTATTAAAAAAGTAAGAAAGGAATTAACATTAATTTGATGTTAACTACTGAAATGGTTTTAAGTAGTCAACTTGATTGATTCTTCATTAGAAATTTCAGTACTATTATTTCTGTCCTAGTATGGGACTCCTTAGCAGTACGCATCCACGATCCCACCCCCACCCTCGTAAGGTTCGAACCCAGGACCTATCAGTCTCGCGCGCGAGCGCTTAACCATTAGACCACTGAGCCGGAATCCAACGATGTTAATGTCTTACTTCAACCAATCCACGATATTGTTGAGGACGAGATGGCTGTCTAGTGCACCCAAGTTTTCAATGGTGGTATAACATTGATCCATTCATGATATCAATCTAAACTCCCCACTCTCTACAACCCTATACTCATCTTAGTAACCTCTTTCTAATATGTTTCCTGGAGATAGATACTGATTCAAAACATTTCACCTAATTCAAAATGCTATCATTCAGATTTATTCATATTAATCGCTAGAAAATTCCTATTATTATTAGAAAACAATTATATGAACGAAGAATATTCTTTTCAATAATTTCTTATCAGGTTCTACAGTCATATATATCCAAATTAATAATCCATATAGCTGGTCAGGTTTAAGGCAAAGTAAATCATTTAATACTTCTTACATATGAATTAGGGATTGTTATTTGTCATGGAGGAGAAGATTTGTAGATCAGATGGATGATTTTAATGGATTTTTGTCCTCTGAGCTGGATAGTTTGTTCGTGGAGCTTTCATCGTTCTTCTGAATGACATCATCATCATCATCAGCAGCAGCAAGAACTTCCACTTAAACTACATATCTTCTCCTTCATGACAAACAAAAATCCTTAATGTACATGTTACAATTTTAAATGATATACTCAACCTTAAACCTGACCATTTTTATGAATTACTAATTTGAATATAATAATTATAGAGTATCTGATAAGAAATTCATTGAAAAGAATATTCTTCATTTATTCTTATTAACTATTTTGTATATCATTTAATACTTACCATTTTTGTCGATTATAAATGGAGCATCAAAAGTTTCATGTTTTCTGGCAATTGTTAAGCTAATAAAAATTAAACACACCAAAGATAAACGAATCATTTCTTATCTAAAATGTAAAAAAACATACTTATTAGACGAAGAATAACATGAACAAGAAGAAGGGAAAGAAGAAGAAGAAGAAGGAGGAGGAAGAAGGAGGAGAAGAAGAAGAAGAAGAAGAAGAAGAAGAAGGAAAAGAACGAGAAGAAGAAAAAGAAGGAGAAGAACAAGAAGGAGAAGAACAAGAAGAAGAAGGAGGAGGACGGGGAGAAGGAGGAGGAGGGGGAGGAGAACAAGAAGAAGAAGAAGGAGAAGAAGAAGACGAAGAAGAAGGAGAAGGAGGAGGAGGAGAACAGGAAGAAGAAGACGAAGGAGAAGAAGAAGAACACGAAGAAGGAGAAGAAGACGAAAACGAAGAAGAAGGAGATGAAGAAGAAGGAGAACAAGAAAAAGAAGGAGAGGTACAAGAAGAAGAAGAAGGAGAAGAAGAAGACGAAGGAGAAGGAGAAGGAGGAGGAGGAGAACAGGAAGAAGAAGAAGACGAAGAAGAAGGAGGAGAAGACGAAGAAGAAGGAGGGAAAGAAAAAGAAGAACAACAACAAGAACATAAACATATTGTAGAATTGAAAAATGTACACTTTTAATTTACATTCTCAAATAAGGAATTATTCATAGAGATAAATGGTTCATTATTTATAATTACATAACCATTAGATTTGAACCAATTAAAATTTATGTAAATTAACTGGATTGACTCTCCCCCCCCCCGTCTTCAAGAAACGATATTGATTAGATGTTTATTTGATTTATTATTTGACATAAAGGATCAAATGAATATTTCTCATATATATTCAATAGATTAATAATTTAAGATCATGAGTCAATTGAAGTTAGATCACCATAAAGAACCTGGAAAAAGAAAACAAACAACTATGAATGAATATATATAAACTGAAAATTATTCATTAGGACTTAAGAGCTAAATGGATAACACAATGGTGTTTGAAATGAATTACTCATAACAACAGTAGTGTTTGTCTTGTTTGCTCTTATAACAACATTGTTTTCCTGTCTTTACATAGTTGTTTTAGAGCATACATTTGTTCTTTAGATAGATTAGGAGCATTCAGTTTTTGATTCAACAATACAGCTATGATACTATGGTGTGTGCTACTGATCTAGACACATATAAGTAGTATGTATCATTAACAGAAAGTCAAATGCTTGCAGGCAGGAGGTTAAGAAAATCGAAGAAAAGAGAACGAGAACAAAGAATAATTGATATAGAAACGAAGGAACAGTCAAGTCTGAGATGATTGATTGCTATTTTGCAAATGAAGTATTTACTATATGATTATTAGATTTTACTAAGACATTCTGTAATTTGTATGTTCAGATACATTCGATTATGAGATGGTGAAGATTTGTAGCTCAGGTGGATTACTTTAGTGGAGTTTTGTTCTCTGAGCTGGATGGTTTGGTCATGGAGCTTTCATTGTTCTTGTAGACGACATCATCGGCAAAAATTTCAGGTAGAATTGCTGATGATGCTATTCAGAAGAACGATGAAAGCTGTACGACTAAACCATTCAGCTCAGAGAACAAAACTCCACCAAAATATTCAATTGTCCCCACTTGTTTGTTTTTGTTCACTATGTAGTAAATATACACAACTCTACATCACTATTATGAAACTGTTAAATACTTTGAGTATATTGTTCATTACATAAAGAATGAAAATATTAATTTTATATTCTTGAAGTTAGATAATATCCATCTATATTGAAATTTGTTCAATTGTCTCTGTCCCTCCCTTACTTGAGACAAATTACCTAACATTTTATTGAACTAACCGCGAAAAGAGCACTTCGATGGTGAAAAGGATATATTATGTTGGTAATAACTGATATAGTATTGTAGAGCATTATTTCATATCTATGATATTTATTATTATTGACTTATGTACATTTGAGATCATGAATTGATCAATGTTAGATCATCATTGTAAACTTTGAAGCATTGGTTGGCCGTTTTGTCCTAATATGGAAATCCTGAACAATGCGCATCCACGATCTTACACTCAGAAATGACTGTCCAGTACTTTCAGGTTTACAGTGGTGGTATAACATTGATCGCCTCATAATATCAATCACAATTCAACAATCTCCATAACCCCTATACTGATAATTATGTACATTCATTTATTATTTACTTGGCCAAATAAAATATTCTTCAGTTTTGTAGGCTGATTTATACTGAAGATATTTCTTCTGTAAATCTTTATCAAGGTGTGCTCTACAATTGTTTCATATTACTATGCAACTCCTAAGTAGAACTAACGTTCAAATTCTTCAGCTATCGTTGTTGTTAATATCAATTTAAATACATATGTACAAAAGAGTACGTTCGAACGATATGAAGGTAGATATTTAAGAATTTTATTATACGTTCTCAAGACAACTTGTGCTTCCAAAAATCAAGCAGTTTTGCTAGTTTTCATTAGCAAGCTATATTTTAGATATAGGGTGTGTAATACAAGTTGAATAGATTGATTATACTTTAAGAAATCAATAAACAGTATAATTCTCCAAGCTCACTAATGACTAGCTTCATGAGAAAATTCTCGGAGTTCTGGTGAGAAGCTGTGACCAGTGGAGCTAATCCGTGTCGGGTAGAGACAGGTATCTATCTCAGTACAATGGAGGATGGTCGCGCAATTTCGTGAATTGGTTGAGGTCACACATTAACACCATATTTTAACAAGTTTCTTCATTTTTTTGATCGACCCTTGCGCTAAATATCGAATGGTTGCCAGTTAGATACTATCAATTCAGGAATCGACATTTGATTAATGTGTATTCCTTTCTAAGCATATTGCCAGCAACCACGATGTCTCTGATTGAGCTCTTTTGTATCTTGTAAGCGAAATGTCGTAAACTTTTCACAAACACACCTAAATAGGTTATGCGATTAATAGGCATAATGATGTGTTAAAACAAAAAAACAGATAACTTGTTGAAATATCCAGATGGTAGGAACAGGTAGCCCAAATGTTCAAGCAGGCCGTATCGCAGCTTGCAAGATTAGATATATATAACATCGGTCACTTTATTGGCTGTATTTCACAGCCGTGAAACCATATAGAGTAAATTGTAATTATAATATATTCTGATAATAATTATTACATAATTCATCCCAGTTTAACTTCGCCTGGAGCCCCTCTAGGGCTACTGCTGGTCCCAAGCCTTGATAAAAGAGGAGGGTTGGGCATGAGGTTAGCGACCCCATCCCGTAGAAAACTAACTGGCTAAAAAAACACTAACCAGAAAAAATTATTCAAACCATTTAAGTAAGTAAGTAACTAAGCAAGACATCCCAGTTTACAGACATGACCAGCTCATTATATTTAGCAATATTCAATGTAAGAGATATATTGGATATTAGACAGTTTGAAGTGTTCACATTCAAAAACTGTTTTACCTCTGCCAAAATAAAGCAAACTAACTTTGATTTTAAATGTGATATATTATTTGTCAGATTTGAGATAATCTAAAATAACCTTGTCAAAACTAGATTGCTAAAAAAGAACAAACTATCTTGTCAATCTAATACATTCTTCTTTATAATTGTCCACTTTATTTGGGCAATCAATGTCACAGCCAATCAATCAATCAGCCAATCAAAAATGAAGTTCTTTACCGTTGAAAACCAACTATTCTACAGATTATAAATAATAACTACCAGATAAATAGATCCATTGAAAAGAATTACTGAATTTATTGTGTTCTATTGAGTGAGTATGTTTAAATTAATTTAATATACAGAGGTATATACATGACTAAAATGGTGAACAGTTGAATATTAGAAATCCAGTTTTGTGGATATTATAGTGATTTAATAGTTTAGTTTATGAATCATTTGAAGCTAGACCGTCATGGAAACCCTAGAAGCACTAGATGGCCGTTTCGTCTTATCATGGGACTCCTTAGCAGTGCGAATACACGATCCTGTCTCGTGGGATTCGAACCCAGGATTTCTTAACTCCTAGACAATTGAGCCGGCATCCGATGATGTTAATGTTTAGCCACCGTTCACAATTTAATTTCAACTGAGATTTTAATTGAAAAAAACTATAGTTGATTTCTTGTTCGCAGAAAACATATATACACATATACACAAATTCCTGGCATTCATTTGATGATATTTTATTGGAATTCAGAATAACTTCATCACTTTAATAATGAAAAGAGACTACTGAAATAAATTGGAAGTCTCTGTAGTTCAAGATTTTGAACTACTGTGTATTATTCAATTGGTTAGTTAGATTTCTTCTTCAATTGTAGTAGTTTATATTAAGACTGGAAAATTCCCTAGACAGTAAATCGTTATATTAAGAAGATAAGTGAACATGATTTATGTATTGTTGAAAGCATAGATCAATTGTTAAATTTCTAATGTTATATCAGTGGTCTGGAGGTTGAGCGTTTACGCGTCAGACTGGTAGGTCCCGGGTTCTTGGATGAACACTGTTGAGGAGTCCCATACTGGGACGAAACGGACATCCAGTTCTTCCAGGTCTTCCATAGTGATCTAGCTTCAATTGACTCATGATCTCAACTATAAATTTATACCTTATCGAAAAATCGTTACACTTTTTTTTGTTCATTCTATTTTAATAGTATATATAGTTTCTAGAGAAAACTCTACATAAAGAGAAAATAGATGGTTTATTCGACTCTAACAATATTTGGTTTATTTATTTTGAGCTTTTCTACTGTTATGACTAAAGTGAATCATATTCCTATAAAATTTGATAAATATGGTAAGTTATAATTTCTCATTATTATTATGAATGATTGTTCAGTTAATTAGTGAAATTACACAGTATGCACAGTATGCCAATAAGAGACTGATCAATTGCAGTCCTAAACATTAATGGGAAGATTCAAGTAAAACAATATCAAGTTAATTAAACTTCACTCCATTGCACAAACAAGTAGCTACCAGGACTCAGTAGCTAAGTGGATAACGCGACGGCATTTGAAGTGAACGGTACTGGATTCGAGTC